ATGGTATAACCAAAGGCGCTCCATCTAACTATAAATTGGGGAATTTCTGCATGCGTGTGTGTGTGTGTGTGTGTGTATGTCCGGCTATACGTTTTACGCACCGCTCAACGGATCCTCTCCAAACTTGGTCGGAACAATCTACAGATCATGACACGTTGCATGGGCTATTTATTTCTTTTCAGTTTTATTTTTTTCACATTCCACGTTCAAAAACATTCAAAAAGTGGGAAATTTCTGCACTAAGTGCGGTGCAACGTCACAACACGAAAACACAATGGCAATGTGAAAATAATGTATAACCCATGGTATAACCAAAGGCGCTCCATCTAACTATAAATTGGGGAATTTCTGCATGCGTGTGTGTGTGTGTGTGTGTGTATGTCCGGCTATACGTTTTACGCATCGCTCAACGGATCCTCTCCAAACTTGGTCGGAACATTCTACAGATCATGACACGTTGCATGGGCTATTTATTTATTTTCAGCTTTATTTTTTTCACATTCCACGTTCAAAAACATTAAAAAAGTGGGGAATTTTTGCACCGAGCGCGGGGCAACGTCACAACTCGAAAACAAAATGGCAATGTGAAAAACAATGTATAACCAAAGGCGCTCCATCTAAGATTTTCTAAGTCGCTCCATCTAATCTAACCAGAGAAATGTTATACATTGCTTTTACATTGTTTCTTACATTGGTAAAAAATTGGTTATAACAAGTGCCCAGCTAATGCCACCAAAAAGAAAGGCATCACTGACACGTCGAGATATTAAGCATCGACAAGATACCGCCCGCTGTCAAGAAACTCCTGATGTCGCAGGTAAGATTTTCAACCGTAAACGTAAAATGTACAACGTTCAGACTGACCTCTAATACACTTACAAGCTATCTTATTTTGTTAGTTAGTGTGTGTGTGCGCACGCACGCGCGCGCGTGTGTGTGTGTGTGCATGTGTGTGTGCATGTGTGCGCATGTGCGTGCGTGTAGTGTATGTGTGTGTGTCTATGTGTGCGTGTAGTGTATGTGTTTGTGTATGCGCGCGCGCGCGCGCGTGTGTGTGTGTGTGTGTGTGTTTATGCGCGCGCGCGCGCGTGTGTGCGCGTGCGTGCGTGCGTGCGTGCGTGTGTGTGGGTCACCATGATACGCCGCCAGTTCCCAATCCGCCCTTGCTTTGCGATGACAGTCAACAAGTCACAAGGACAGTCCCTTCACCGTGTCGGCGTCTATACATGCACTGTCAACGACTTCTTCAGTCACTACGGCATGGACTAGTAATTATAATTATATAATCTATATATAGTACTGTGGTAGTGTATATAAATTGATAGATATTCTGTTAGGCCCCGCTTGAGGGCGCTGCCATCACTGCTGTAAGTATACGGCGTGAGTGTGCACGTTATCTTCTTGTTTGTGCGATTTTCAACGGTATATCACACGTCAATCTATCATCCGGTATAAATCAGTGTATAGTTACTGTAGTTAGTACTGATTTCGGTAGCTGATTGAGTTTGAGTTGGCTGTACTATACTATTACTATAGGCTATAGCCCGTGTTCATTAACTGCCGCAGGATATAGTGATAATGCATGTATGCAAAAATAATGCATAATGTGTGTGTGATATGTATGTGTAAATTGAATTGCTGCTGAAATTCTCACTACTACTAGTAGTACTAGTAGTTATCTACAAGTATTACTACTAGTACTACTACTACTAGTGGCTAATTAATAATAAGTGACGTACGCTACGAGTACGAGCACTCGCCTCGGCTTCCCAGCGCCACGGATACCGTCAACGTTCGCCGGTCCTAGAAACGCGTTAATAACCAAAGGCGCTCCATCTAACTATAAATTGGGGATTTTCTGCATGTGTGTGTGTGTGTGTCCGGCTATACGTTCTCCCTGGTTTTACGCACCGCTCAACGGATCCTCTCCAAACTTGGTCGGAACATTCTACAGATCATGACACGTTGCATGGGCTATTTATTTATTTTCAGTTTTATTTTTTTTATATTCCACGTTCAAAAACATTTAAAAAAGTGGGGAATTTTTGCACCGAGTGCGGGGCAACGTCACAACTCGAAAACATAATGGCAATGTAATAAAACAATGTATAACCCATGGTATAACCAAAGGCGCTCCATCTAAGATTTTCTAAGTCGCTCCATCTAATCAAACCAGAGAAATGTTATACATTGTTTAAATGGAGCAAAAATTGGTTATAACTGTACATTTTAAACTTGGTTATAAAAAATTGCCCAGCTAATGCCACCAAAAAGAAAGGCATCACTGACACGTCGAGATATTTATATATTAATTCTTGTTGTTGGGGGCACTATTCCTTCCCAAAGCAACACTATGACAGCATAGTGCCCCCAACAACCTGCGACGTTATCCAATAGAATTTCAACGATTTATCATGTGATGCACTAATAATAATTAAGCATCGACAAGATACCGCCCGCAAGAAAGTCGCCCGCTGTCAAGAAACTGCTGATGCGCGCGCGCGCGTGCGTGTGCGTGTGCGTGTGCGTGCGCGTGTGCGTGCGCGTGTGCGTGTGCGTGTGTATGTGTGTGCGTGTGCGTGTGCGTGTGCGTGTTTCACCATGATACGCCGCCAGTTCCCAATTCGCCCTTGCTTTGCGATGACAGTCAACAATTAAGTCACAAGGACAGTCCCTTCAGTGCCTTCCCCATGTCGGCGTCTACACTGTCAAAGACTTCTTCAGTCACGGCCAGTTCTACGTCACTGCTAGCCGCGTGGGAAATGCCCTGCATATAAAGATTCTAGCATAAAGATTTTGATTCTAGCTGTAGACGCCAAGGACACAACTAAACGTTCCATCATGAACAATGTGGTCTACACAGAAGTTCTGACCACCTAACGGGCATGGACTAGTAATTATAATTATATAATCTATATATAGTACTGTATATAAATTGATAGATATTCTGTTAGGCCCCGCTTGAGGGCGCTGCCATCACTGCTGTAAGTGTCGTGAGAGTGTGAGTGTGCACGTTATCTTCTTGTTAGTGCAATTTTCAACGGTATATCCACAGCCACAGGCACTTGCGACCCCCGTTCTGCGCCTACCGTAGTGTGTATAATAGTGTATATGAGAGTATATATATATGAGTGTATATGCTCATATACACTGTCACTCGTAACACACTACGGTAGGCGCAGAACTCACACCTACGGTGCTCGCATTGGGGGATCGTGTTAGATATATTATAGGTGCCTGTGCGACCAGCCAGTCGCAAGTGCCTGTGCCTGTGGGTATATCACACGTGAATCTATCATCCGGTATAAATCAGTGTTTAGTTACTGTAGTTAGTACTGATTTCGGTCGCTGAGTGAGTCCAAGCATGAATATACATTTTAAGATTAGATTTTAGGTCTCGACTCCGTCTTCGATTCCGTCCGTCGCCGTCGATTAACAGTGACAAGGTCGAGCCTGATATAGTGATAATGATATACTACACCATGTCACTTCACACCGTCATACCAGTTATCACCACTCTAGCTATGTATGTGCAAATTGAATTGCTGCTGAAATTTTTACTACTACTACTATAGTAGGTACTACTACTACTAGTGGCTAATAGTAATAGTAATAATAAGTGACGTACGCTACGAGTACAAGCACTCGCCTCGGCTTCCCAGCGCCACGGATACCGTCAACGTTCCACGGTCCTAGAAACGCATTTCCATCTCGCCATTCAAGCGTAATGTACCGGGCGTGTAAGAGAATCGTCTGTCGGTTGTCTGCGTTGGATTTCGCGCGCTGCGAGCGCCCGTCGAAGCACAGACTCGCTACCGCCCCGCTCGCGTGCGATCTCCACGCCCTCTATCCGTGTCGTCGCCTGCACGCCGCGCCGCTGCTCGAGCGGACGACGGAGGGAATGCTGGGAAGTCTTCTGCGTCGGCATTTTCGCACGGCATCCCGTGGCGTGCCGCCGCCGCCGTCGTCGCTTGAGCGGACGAGAGAAGGACTCCTGGGAAGCGTCCCGGCGACGAGCGTGAGCGTGGCGATGTTAACGACGGACGCTGACGCGCGGGTGCCGCCGGTGCTGGTGGAGGAGGAACTGGAGGAGGATTTCGTGAAAGGGTCGGGACCCGGCGGACAGTCCGTGAACAAGACGTCGAACTGCGTCGTGCTGAAGCACAAGCCAACCAACCTCGTCGTCAAGGTAACCGTACCGCAGTGCAGACGCGAACGTGCGTGTGGCGTTTCGGGGCGTCACTTTTCCCCGGACGTAGATGGACGGTGCCGTTACGTGGCAGCACTAGTCACTTCGTACGCTTCAAAGTCCAAATCTTCCACAGAAAGATTCCACATTCATACTTCTGTGCTAGACATGGCATTATTTCCCTAACCATAACCCTAACCCTAATCCTAACACTAGTGCTGCCACATCACGTGACCGTCCATCTACACCCGGGGGAAAGTCACTCTCGGCGTTTCGTCAGAAACTTTCGAGTGCGGTGGGGGAGCAGTTGTGTGATCAATTGGTGGTGTTCGCATGATTTCTGAATTTTTACCATTACAAGCTATTCACATGTACTGCTTACTGGCAGGCTGAAATTTGCTGCCGTGTTGTAAAATAGATAATTAAACCGATTGTAAAGAAAGTCTAATTATGCGAAAACATCAGCGGGTGCTTTGTATCATTACCTGTCTGGCGTTTAAGTTTTATAGTTGGTGTAATTATTCCCAACGTACCCGTTCAGTTACCCGTGTATGTGAACTCCTATAGGCAACGGTCTTTATAACCGATACCCACATGTGTAACGATACGTATAGGCAAGGAGATCGATGCAGAATTGTGCATGTCAGTGTTACTGGTACGTACATGAGTTTATGTATCGCCGTGCGATTGAATTCGTTCAGTCTTGTATGAATTGCCCCTCGCTGTGTTTTGCAGTGTCACCAGACGAGGTCCCTGCAGCAAAATCGTAAGCTGGCGAGAGAGCTTCTCCTGGAGAAACTGGACGTGCACCTAAACGGAGAGGCCAGCCTGGCGATGCAGAGGAAGCTCCAGCAGAGCGAGAGCCGCAAGAAGAAGAAGAACAGATCGCGTGCGACGCTGCAGCGAAAGAAAGATTTCAAGGCGCGGGAGGGGTTGGAATAACCCGTGGACTTTACACCGCCGTGTTCATGTGACGCCACTTGCGATACACGGAAGCTAGTCGATTCGCCGGTTAGCTTTCTCACGGGCCGAGAAGTGTACTCGTACATTGTAGCAGTGTACATGTACACTCGCTCTGGAGCAACTTTTAACGAGAAGGGTACACCTACTCGAGCAACATTCAGGATGGTTTCTTGTATGTGGTTACGTGCTTTGGCATGGGTGCCCAACCTTTGTTGGCACTGAACTGCCGTGAGCCTGTAGGTGTAGACGGCGCTGAACTGCAAATGTTTGCTCGAGGTTGCATCTGAATCAGGTGGACACGTCATGGTTGGCTGTTGACTTAGAAGCAGCTGCTCAAACAAGAAGATTACGTCTGTGCGATACTGTGAATATTTGAAAAATCAATATTTAAAGTACTCATTTTGCTGTGCAAGTGCATTACGGGTATTATTATACCGTATAAGTGCATATATTACATACATTGTTATGTCTGTCACAGTTCAATCAGTAGGAACTCAAAATTTAAAGAAGTGGTCTATATGAGTATTGTTTCATACGTGTGTTTATCTTGACAAAGTTGACGAAGTGAAAATATTCATGTTTACTACTTGTGTTTATGATCACGTGTGGCTAGTTTCTGTGAGTTTGTTGGTTTGTGCATGCAAGTTAAAGGTTGACATCACAAACCTTGCTACGGATATTTTTGCGTATGTAGTTGTCCGAGGATGCTGAATGCTCCCCCTGGTGCCAATCACACTTCAGATGTTACCATAGATCAGTGATCATCATTCATTACCTATCAACATGAATATATGTGTTAAATGCAAGTAAATACTTGATCCACATCTTCAGTAACAATCAACAGTTCGTTAAACGTCACCGTGCGAGAGGCGGAATTTTGCATCTCGCGCGAGACCCGTTGCCGTGGCGACGAAATCGCTGAACGCTTTCGACGTTTTTTGCTTGCAGGGTACGTCAGCATCCTCGGGGGGGTTGGTGTGCCGCGGCGGCGAGACGGTGCGTTAACGGAGGCCGATATCATTGAACCGTCCCGACTCGAGTGACGACAAAGATGGCCGACGAAGCTTTCACCGCAATCTTCGTCGGGGAGTCCGACATGTGAGGCTAATTTTTTTGTAATGTTTCTCGACGTTTTTAGAAAGAAAAATTGGGACAGCTCTCGTCTCGACGATGCAATCGTGCTTTCGTTACATTTCAGCTGTCGCGGTCGCTTCGCCACAGTAGCTTTCGGGTTTTTAGGCGTTTGTTTTTTTTCTGGAAAGCATAAATATGCGCTTTTTCGTTTTAAATTTTTTCATGCTTAACTCGTAATGGATTGGTGCTTTCTGTAATACATGGGATGCTATCTTTTGACTCTATCATGTGTGTAACAGTGCGATTACTGCTATTAAATGCAATTTTGATTGAAAATTCATTCTGCTTCGCATCTATGTTGTCGTTGTTCATATATTGTGATCACGCAGCAAATCTAATGTGTTCGTTCAGTTATCATGGTGTGACAGTGGACTCCATACAGGAACCATGTCCAGCAGAGGAATTTGAAGAGAAACTTGAAGGTAAAGTAAATGCATTTTTAATGAGGCCACGTATGGCATTATTTCATTATTCTTCCACCTAATAGTACGTCTTGTAATTAATTTCTGTTGTGATGGATGCTTTAAATATGTGTCGGGTCTGCCAAAACAAATATACACTATAAGAATAATTGGTTCAAACGTAGCATGTTATGTTTGCATGAACATACATAAAGTTTAAGCTGTTGTTCGACAGGGACAGTGGTCTATATTTGTTCTATTTTAATAGCCAGCTAAAATGATTCAATTGACTACGTCATGAATTTTCTATGGTAAAATTTGTAAAATTTTTGTTGCCATTTTTGTTACACTAAAGGTAAGATCTAACGGGACTAAACGTATTCATCAAATTCTTACCTGATAAGATTGTTTCTCAACTAGGTAAAAATCCAAAAAACCTGGACGATTTGGAATACTGTGTTCCTGACATTAATTGCTTGCTATGGGCTATGTATGAGTCACGAGTGTATGTTCACATCAAACAATATAGTAAAATACGAAGTATAATGCAGCAATTTAACCATAAAAACTGAACAGAATTACTTATATTTTGTGAAAAAGTGGAAATATTTTTTTAATTTTTACTATTTATGGTGACGTAATCACTTTAAACCGTTTGTTGTGCATATTTCAGCATCTCTGACAGGGTGGAAGGCAGCAGGTAGAAGGGGTATCTGGTTTAAGATACATCTAAAAGATGCAGCTCTAGTGCCAATATGTGCCAAGGTTAGTAGAATTTGTAAAGTCACCAAAATTACCTTTATCTTTATTAATACAAGGTAATACATGAATATATATATATATAGATGGCGCTACTTCTCAAAGACTGATAGTTGACTTTTCTCATGTTCACAGCATGGCTTTACATTCCATCATGCTCAGCCAGACTACGTCATGATGGTCACGTGGCTTCCAACAGACGAACCTAACAACCTACCGGACTATGCGCACACATTTATAGGTGAGTCTCCACTCTTGAGAGTGAGAATGGGGAGGGGGAAATGGTGGAGAGAGAGTTCATTCCTCTTATCATTTGTTTTATCTTCATCATTCAATTTAGTCACTCATATTATTCCACAAACAGTATCAAATTTGGATCTTCTAATAGCAACGCAAGCAGAATGCACGTAGCCAACGTACTTTCTACACTTTTTAGCGAGAGAAGATCAACCTGTCTTCCCCTCCCTCCATTTCCCGAGCGTGTCAGTTCCATTTCGAAACGTGTCCGCTTGGGACAAACAGGTGGAGCTATCTCCTACCTCTGTCGTCGTAGCCTTGCCGCGTCCCACCAGCTCTGTTAGTCTGCGGGTAGGCTTCCTCACTCATGCTCATCAGATATTTTCGATGTTGTGCGCGCTCGTTAAAACCTTGTCGTTCTGCGCAGGAGTTGGCGGTCTCGTCGTTAACGAGGAAGACCAAATCCTCGTGCTGAAGGAGCGATTTATGCAGAAGCCGCACTGGAAACTTCCCGGAGGATTGGTGAACGAAGGTGAGACCGCCATGCGTTCCGCGACGCGTTCCCTCGCCGAACGTCGCCACAACGCTCGCTCCCTGTAGAACAACTAAATAGAATAAGAACAAGAGAAACATCGAAGCAACGCAATGCATGAAAAATATGCAATAAAAAATAAAAAATAAAAAAAAAATAATGCGCGAGTAGTAAGACAATAAAAATAATGACAAAAATAATCGCGATCAGCAGCGAATCGTTTGCTTCCGGAACGTTGCTTACGGCACGACGCGAAAAAGGATGGCGGACGGCGCACCCAGCTAATCCGGTATTAATTTTGTTTCTTCGTGTTTTCGTGTGCTCTCCAGGCGAGGGATTGCCGCAGGCGGTGGAGAGGGAGGTGCTGGAGGAGACTGGCATCCACACAGCGTTCGTGTCCGTCCTCGGCTTCCGACACCTGCACGAGTTCAGGTACGCGCGTGCTCGTGTCGATCGATGCCACGTCACCCGTTCGATCGGGGGAGTCGGTTTGTAACTTTGCAGGGTTAGAATGCTGTGAAAACCGCCTCAAGTCTAAGTCAGTAGATCTGCGGTAATCGGGTAATCGTTAACGGCCATTTTCTTTTCGACCAGAATCTTTCATTTCACTCCCGATGTTATGTGTGTGAATGCGAGGCTTGGGTGCATATGTCACTATGCGACGCAAAGCATCAACTGCACTCTCTCGTCTGCCTGTGACCGGCTTATCCCTCGATAACACAGAGCTGTAAAGTTAGCCATGAACTACTAAGTCTTTACCACAGCTTATTTCCGATGTCAGGACTGAACATTTGCCGAATCGAATTGAATTATCGCGTGGTCATCGCTGAACGTTCACTTCTAACAATTGTTGTTGTCGTCACGCCCCCGTAGGTTTGGATGCTCTGACTTCTACTTCGTGTGCCTCATGCGACCACTGAACGACGTCGACGGAATTCACACGCAGGCTCAGGAGATTGCGGCGTGTCGATGGATCGACGTAAGCATGCCGATTGTTTGTGTCGTGTATCGTTACTGTCCCCGTGGTAACGCGTGGAGGTGAAACGGAGGAACGTCTGCATATATCGATTAAGAGCGATATGTTGTCAAGTTTATTACGTGAACGTTTGAAATCTTGCATACAACAAGATAATGTATATATATGTATATGCATATGTAGATGTATATTTATGTGTATGTATATGTATATGTATATTTATATGTATGTGTATGTATATGTATACTTATGTGTATGTGTATATGTGTGTATTTAGATGTACATATGTATGTATATGTTTACTTATATGTGTAGTAGCCGAAAGAAAAACCGTTTCTTCGATCACGTCCCCCCCCCCCCAACCAGTTAACTCGTTCGACGCTCGAAACTTGATCCGCGTTAGACTGACGCCGCGTTCTTTCCTCGTCTCTCCGGCAGCTGGACGAGTACCTGGAGATGAAGGACGTGGCACCCGTCAACCGGTTTGTCGCTCAGGCGTACCGGCGGCAGCAGGAGCTCGGATGCGGGATCCGATCAAGCTTCATCACCTCGCGCGCCTTCCACAAGCAGAATCGCGTCTACAGCGTCATGACAACGGACGAACCGTCAACACCGACCGTCGAGAGCCTCGAGTAGCGGCTCCGCGCGAAAACAAGGGAACGTCTGCGCGGAAAACGAGAACGTCTGCGCGGACGGAGGGAGCGACGTCCTGCGCTGCGAGCGATGTGCGAAACGAAGGAATGCTTTAGTGGTTTGGAGTGTGCTAGTGGGGTTTTATTTAGGGAGTTTGGGGTGTGCTGAGATATATATACTTTTAGTTGTTGAGGTCGCGACGGAAGGATATTCGTCAAGCGATATCGCGCGAGTCTAGCGACGCATTGAATCGGGAACACGTACCGATAGCGGGAAATGTTCGCCTGCTGTAAGATGTTCACTTGTCACGAATCTTATCACGAAAGTGCAATTGTTGTAGCAGCTACGGCGGTTGCATCGCGTCTTGGTCGATATTTTTCTACAAGCATGTCGTCTCCTGGAGTAAATGTTTTATCGATTCCTCCCCTGTGTAACGACAGCAGCACAAGAAGTCTTTCTTGAAGTCTTTCTTCCACAGAAATCTGTGAACGGAATCTCACCGAGATTACAGAATCTGGAGAGGTCTTCCCTATAAAAACTGCCAACTACCATTTATCGTGTCTTACTACCTTCTCAAAGATACGCGGTAATTTTTCAGCAATTTTATCCGACCTCACATGCAAGATCGTTAACTAGTGCCATAAAAAGTTTTTATATGCAATCGTGTTTCCAATAGAGTGTATTGTGACTTATTCACGCACACAAGCACCTCGCACTAGAAGCTGGTGTCGAAATGAAATATATATATATTTTCAATGGATAGAGTGTTTAAATTGTTAAATTCATCAGCCTGTACCATAAACCCATGAAGGTTCATGCTGGTACCCATTACCCAAACTTATTTATTCTATGCATTTTGCAAGGTGCTGGTATGCCATATTGATTTAAGTTTGACGTATATATCAATAATGTTCAGTTTAATGACGTTTCTGTCGTTAACAGTAACAGTGTGCTGGTTTGCTTTCAGCGTGTAGTGCATTGCATTTTGATGCATGCGATCATAGTTACGGATTGCTGCGCGATCTTGTGTGTTTGTTATATAATCAGTATTTTATGTTTCCTTGAGAATATATGTTTCACATTTAAAAATAGATACCAAATATTCTTTAGTGGACCAAATTTATAGGCTAGAGTATATAAGATTATTAGAAGCACTTACGAAGCTGAATGCCTGTAGCGTTTGACCATTACTTGCCTCTTCTACTTTTTGTTAAGAGAGGTAAAACTACCGGTACCATGTTCTATACCCATGCAGCTAATATTTTCGTAATGACAAAATTACTAAGTAATCCCGTTTTGTATCCGATCACAACTGATTGACCCGATACGGCGATAGATTCGCGGTATTATTACCGTGTGGTGCGTTAGTAACGTTGAACTCTATGTACATGACATGTAACAGATAATTTGCAATAAAACACAAACTGTGATTCTCATTTACTCTATTCTTCCGTATTTACATAATCATAATGGTTCTCACCCAGTTTTTCTGTTAAAAATTTCATTGCTAATAAAAATTACGTGTCTAATTTTAGAAGGATTGGTCTATTGTAAAGCTTCTGATAAATTTTCAGTGATTTTCACAATCTGTGAAATATCAGGAAAATCAGAAATTCTCAATCTGTTTATGGTAGCTAAGAGATTTTTTGCTTTACTATCTGTTTGTGGTGGTTAAGCTTATTAATACATGGGAGTGGAAAGGATACACTCACGCAACACTGACTCGCGTGTAATACAGTCTGGTATCTGAAAGCTGCCTATAACATATACACAAAGAGTTGGATAGGAGGTTATCTAATTAGATTTCCTATTGTCTAATTATTGATAATCATGATTATGTTGAGAAAATTATTTACGCGGCCCGGTTATGGGCGCCATCTACTGACGATTTTCAGACATGTAAGGCAAGTAGCAAGAGCATCCATCGTTTTAACATGGCTGCGCCCATGTCATTATCTAACCTAACGACGGAAAACAGAGTACAACAACATTCACAACTGTTTGATTATAAACTTTGCTCTTACTATAAATGCTTACAACGTGTTTAAGATTGACTTGCTATAATATCGTAATACCATGATGAGCAACACGGACAGAAAAGAACAGTATAAATGTGGCGATCACAGTGTCCAGTCGGTGAGGCAGAAAATAAAAGATACATTGGACGGTAAACTAATTATCAATATCAGATCGATATCATATTAATATTTTTGCAAACCGCATACCCGACCAGTTTTCTAGCCTAAATTGTTACCTGACCGGATTTTTGGTGCGTGCACCGTCTATTTCATGCTTTATTTCAAAGCAAGAGACACTGTCAGACAATCTAGGTTCTTTATAAATTATTACTTCTCAGTAGGATACTTACTATACATGCAGTGTTTCCCCTGCATTGACACGAGCGAGGCGGCCGCCTCGCTCAAATGTCAGCCGCCATGCAGAAATTTATCCAAAAACACCACCTCGCTGACGAAACCAAGTTTTTGCTTCGGCCACCATCTCTACGAAACTGACTCAGTGACTGTCCTCCTGACCGGCAATTTTTTCCCCTCATATTACGCTGAAATATTACGGTTATCGCAACGGCAGTTTAGACAGACTTGTGAACGGGAGCGCATTATAATACGCTCCGTTCCTGAACGTAGACTGGGTATCCAAAACATCTAGAGCAGAGGGCATGAACTCCCTCAACGCATGGTTCGCCACACGAACAAAATCTCGTGACAGTCTAAGAAATCAGTTGCGGCTGTAGCGTAGCCCAGTACAGTTTAGAAGTATCTGCAAAGCCAGTCTAGTCTGCATTTTCCTGATGCTGGGAGTAAATAACGTGCAGCACATTCCAATACAACTCTGTGACTCTGTCTATACTCTACTATAGCTCTCGTTGCAAGCCACTCTAATATTTGTCATCTGCTGTTTTTTATTATAGAGTCAAGAAAAGAGAGTCGTCAGGCACTCGTAACAAGCAAGCGATTTAGAGTTTCAACGTTACCTGGGGATGTTACCGATCTCAGTCTAGTTCAAGTACACAAATTTCTATCCGTTCTTCTACTGACATGTGCCAATCTGCCACCCTAACAAATTTAATGTATTTATGAGACATTTAAAAAACGGTCACAATGTTATAATCACTTTATCAAGTTATATAATCAAGTTCGTTACTATAATTGCTGATATGAGAGATTTAATAATTCAAAACATGCAAGAAATTGTATCATTAATTAGGTATCGGTGTGGCTATATAGTATGCCAAGGATGCATGATATCATAAAACATTTTAAACTTACTGCGTACTGCTCTTTAAAAATAATTTTATTCCCATTACTTGTTTGCAAGGCAAACTGTAACCGTCCGGTTACGTTGTCTGTCGTTGAATGTTGTCGATTTAACAATTTAATGTTATTGAAAAAATGATATATATATATATAGGTATATGGATATAGCTTCAATTTTTCTTCAAAATGACAGGTTAGACAGACTGCCAGCGATCTAAAGAAGAAGAGTGGAACAAACAGACTGAGCCTGCTGAAGCAACTTACAGCTGCATTCACGCTGCATGTGGACAATCTCACCGAGTTTTTAGGGTAACCTTGTATTCTCAACATTGAACACATGACAGAGAGAAGGAGAGTTGATCAATGGGAAAAACTGTAACCTTGTTTTAACCAGAAGATGCTCATTATAGAAAGTTGCAAAATTGCCATATACACGCTAAACGGTGAGATTTGAGAAATAAAGCAGTTGGGCTATTTTGAGGGCAGAGAGACAAACGTTTATAAAAATACCACATGATTATAAGGTAAAAATGGACCAAGAGATATATGGATATTATACGTAATTTAAGTTTTCCATGAGAGAGTTGCGAGTTCTCATATCTTACATATGGCGCAAGGTTGTCTAGTACACAGGTATATTCTTGCAGTGTGGACGGAGCCCTGAGATCGCTGGTTAGCATATTCACTGGCATTGACACTGAACTACAAACAGAAGCGGCTCTCTGCCTGACAAATTTAGCAGCCGGTAGGTATTCCGTATTATGTATTATCAGGGAGTGAATATGAGTGAATAACAGATGAACAGAACGACAGATTTTTCTGTTATTATTCACCCCTGGTATTATATAGTGTTATTTAACTATCACTATCAATAATGTTGTATTAATAGTAGCAGTACGTATGTTTCTACATCCATGTCGCAGTCAGTGTTATTTGTATATTGTGCTTAATAATGTT